TCCGCCTATCCTGCGCCTGGCAACGCACGTGCTGTCTGACGTGCGATTTCATCAGCATCCGCTCAGGCCTCGGCGACACGCCTGCTGTCGGCTCATTATCACCTTTCAGCTGGGCCATGGTAACACGCTCGCAGGGTCTTTCCGAAGCATGGTTGGTGACAAACGCGCGAACGTCGGCACTCCGCTTTCTCGCCCAGCTGTCAACCTTGGGACGAGTCCATAGTCGTCCCCATTTTCAAAAAGGGTCTGCACACAATGTGCTCCAATTACAGAGGTATAAGTTAAGTTCTCGTCGTTTGCAAGCTTCTGGCGTCCATTATACTTCGCAGACTCTCCCCACTGCGCGAATCGCTACAGCAGGAAGAACAGGCTGTGTTCCGCCCTGGTCGCGACTGCATCGATCAAATCTTCACACCCTACTAGATCCTAGAGTCGCACCATGCATACCAAAAGTCAACAATTGTCGTGTTCTTTACTATTCGTGCTGCTTTCGATTATGTCGACAGACCTGCATCGTGGCACTGTTTATTAAGGAGACGCAGAAGTTCGTTTCCCTGCTTCGTGGTATGTACAGTCTGACCTCGGGTAGAGAAATGGCTTATGGCAAGCGGTAACCTACGTTTGTTGTCACCAGAGGAGTTCGACAAGGATGTCCTATTTCTCCAGTCCTCTTCAATATTTCCTTTGAGGAAATCCTCAACACTGCACTAGAAGACTCGTTAGACGCTGGCGTTAAGCTCCTTCCAGTTAGTCGAGTAGCTGATTTGAACTACGCTGATGATATGGTCTTGCTGGGTGACAGTTGGCAGGCCGTTCAGCTTGCACTTAAGCACTTGGCGATTGAAGCGCCGAAGTATGGCATGCACTTTTCAACCTCCAAGTGCAAAGTAATTTTTCAAGACCGGCAGATGCCCATACCTCCTCTCTCGGCGGCGAGACACTGAAGGTTATGGAGTGTTTCGTCTACCCAGGAAGTTCCATCACTGCTGGTGGAGCTGTTAGAGATGAGATTTCGATACGTATCTCAAAATATCGTCTCACGTTCTTCAGACTGAGGCACTTGTGACGCCGTCATTACACCCGTCTCTCCATCAAAGGGCGGGTCTATTGTGCGACTACCTGCGCTGTACTGCTGTACGGGTGCGAGCCTTGGCTTTTTCGAACCGTTGACCTGCGCCAGCTGTCTGTCTTCGGGCGTGGTTACTGGCTTTCCATTGCCCGGGTGTGGTGGCTGCACCACGTAAGCAATGCAGAAGTTAGACAGCGCGTCTTGCGGACAGACAGCCACTCGCTGAGCAGCTTGCCTTGCTGCCCCAATTGCGGTGGATTGGTCACGTGTCGCGCATGCCCGCTCAGCGCCTTCCGCGTCGTGCATTGTTCGCGGTTGTTGGGTAGGGATGAAGGAAGCGGCGGGGTGGACAACCTACGATCTGAAGAAGCCGCACGAAAAACCTGACGAAGCAGTTGGTCTCGGTCGGTCAATCTGGACCCCCTGGTTGGGGTCCCAGCGATGCGGTGTGTCCCTGATTGGAAACCCTGTCAGTTATGACGCAATACCGACACCAGTGGCGGACGCGTATCTCTGCATTTTCGGGGGATCTCATTTCCTTCCTTTAACAAAACAAAATGCCAGAAAATTCAAGCACTGTGAGTGGAGCATCGGACGAAAATAGTCGCCTGTTCTTTTCTTTTCTTATTCAGATCCTGTGTTCATATTCCGCCATGAATGCGATGGTGCTATAACTGTAACACAGATCCTGATGTAGCATTCATGATGTTTCTTCACCGCAGTTGGGCTAAATCAACTTACACTTAAACTAGGTCTTTTTAATGTGGATAAAATTCATTCCCCTTTAGTTGGTTTGTTCTACGTACCTGATAATCTCCTAACTTGCACACGTCACTTATGCTAATTGTGGAAACCTTGCGTAACTTTATCACGTGGTAATTTTTAATAACTTTCGGACATTTTGTAATTATCGCGGATTCGCTTATAACCAATTTACTCCATATGCTGATTTAGCGAGTATTTATGTCGTCATATAGGTTTACTTTATTCGAAATCTTTTATTTGATGTCGGCATTTCGAACGATTGGCTGTTGTTTGACATTCCAGGTGTGGTTGCTATTGATGTGCATGTTGACAAGATGCCTACGTGTCTATTACCCACTACCTCGTCTATACTGGCTCCAGGAGACAGTGGGGCGTTGCCGGAGGGGACGGGGTGCACGGTCCCTGTGATCGTGCTAGGCTCGAAGAGTGGTTCCATGCACTCAGTTTGGAGCGGATTACAGTCCAACCACCGCCTTGTGTGTGCTTGATTCCCCAACTACAGCGTGCTTGTGTTTGCCTGTGAAGGAGTGTGGGCCGGCTCCGTTGATGAAACGTGGTTTCCTTCCACATGCCTCCCGGTCTTATTCCTTCGAGTTTACACTGGATATGGGGTGTGTGTTTGTAGCTGTGGGTGGTGCAGCGCAAGCCATCCATGGTCCCTCTGTAGGCGCAGGCGTCCTGTGACTGGCCACAGTGACAGACAAATCCGAAACCGGATGCCGCCAACCATATACATATATATATATATATATATATATATATATATATATATATAGATATATATAGTGAGAAACTACGTGTATTTTTGTTTTAAGATTTGCAGTCCATGCGAAACTCTGTTCATCCGTGCGGACAGGTTCTCCTGCTCCCACTTGAAGCGGCTGCGTAGACAAAAAGAAAAAGGTTTCAAAAGAAAGGATAGCACCACGGTAAGGTCATTATCTGTCTTTACATAGGAGGTGTTGCATCGTCTCATCAAAGTGTACCGTCAGACCATACTTGGGAATAGTAGATGCCGTGAACACTAGAGGATGTTAAAGCAACTAAGCGAGCCTACTCGACGTACATCAACCTCCTAGGTAGAGGTGGCGAAACGGAATCATGACTTATGCAACTGCTACAACCATCCAATCTCTGTATCGTTATTTGTCCAGTCTAGATTTTAGGCCGACTCACATCCCCCTGTCGAAAACGACACAAGTTACCGAAACCGCCTCACTCAGGAAAGGCAAGTAGTCCAGATAGACTATCTCCCGTTGTTTTCTAGGAATGTACCGACTTTCTGGCCCAACCTCTAGCTACTTTATATACATTGTACGACCAACAACATAACCTCTCCGACTGCTGGAGGGGCGTCATTATCACACCAATAGCAAAAATGGATCAAGTAAATATTGACCATTTGCTTGCAGTTCCGTCGCCGTAAAGGTGTTTGGAAATCATTCCTTTGAGGATGCTTACACAACGGAACTGAAATGATTCTCACAAATTTGCCTACCGCTGTTCGATGTTAACCAAAGGCACAGTAGCCCGTCTTGTGCACTTGGTTCTGCCATCACTAATCAATGGAATCAGGTTCACTCGAGTCTGTTTTCTGGACTACACCAACGCATTCGGCTGCGTAAACCGCGAATTGCTGTTGGAAGAGCTATTCGGTGCTGGAGTACATCATTCCATCGTCTATCTACTGATGGATTATTTGCCGGTCATACTCAGGTTACCCGATTTGGAGGCAGAGGCTCCGCACCACCTATCACAAACGCCGATGTTCTCCAAGGAGCTATTCTGTCACAATTGCTGTTTTCCAAGGATGTCAACTCATTATCAGTCCCAGCAGAGGCAGCCCTCCTGAGATACGCAGATGGCATTGTCTTGAGCGTCAATCAGACGACCAGTGCCTCTTAAGTCAGATGGCAAGATATTCCTAACGATCTTACATTTTGGTCAAAGGCATGCGAGCTGCTGCTCGACGTGCCTAAATGCAACGCTGTCATTTTTCACTGCATAAAAGTGATCGATATCAACAGCTTCTCTAGCAATGCCCGGAACTCAACTTAATTGGCGAGAGGTTGCCCTCTTCCATATCAGTAAAATATTTGGGTGTTTTGCTAAGCTACGATTTATCTTGGTCACACCATATAAAAGAAACGTTCCCAAAAGTCCGGAAGTTACCGTACTACGCCTGACGCCTGCGAACTTCCTCTGCCTCTTATAATTTGATACTTCGCTTAGTCACTGCCTGTGTTTTACCACACTGGACCTACTGCTGACCAGTAATCTACCCTGGTCTGTTGGACAAGGACTTCAGATTAATCTTCAGATCGTTCAAACACTTGTCGCGATACAGCGATCTTTCAAAGCGGAGTTTTCTTGCTATACTTGTATTCACTCATGTTGGTTCTTGCAAGAGACTTGCACCAACAGTACTTGCCAGCATAAGTAATTCCTTCCATTGTGTATTTTCTGAATGTGTGTTCTCCTCGTCAACCGGACAGAAGTACAAATCCAATGCCCGTACCGAGCGTACCGTTCGTCAGTTATCAATTGCCTAACGCGAATTTTGCTGGACCAAAACATTTTCCAAGAATTAACCAACCGGTTTACGCTATGATCGTATTATTTTTGTATAACTGATCCACTTTTTGAATTTCATGCTGTATCGCTGAAAGCGTGTGTGTTAAGGCTGAATATTCACCCGTTCTGTGTGCAAAAAACACATTTGTGACTTGACTTGATTGGAATGGCTGGAACAAGTTTACTCAGCAGTGTACAGCGTAATTTGGCGAAAACGTTGTATGTGATGGTGCGCTTGTGGCAATGAGCAGAACCGACCACAGTCGTTCAGACTACTAAAAAGAATACATTTTCCGTTCAAGTTCGCAGTGGTAATCCTCCGGGTAAAAAAGTGATAGTATCGAAAGAAAACTTTGTCACCATTATCCAAGTGCATGATCCACTTAGTGTGAGTGCAAATGACGTGTTAATCCTCTGATTACAAGCGAAATTCCTGCTTAATATCGTCGAGGTGGTTTCAAGTAAGCAGCATGTGAGTGTTCGAATAGTAAGCAGAGGTACACCCAATTGTTCAGGTTTCACAAAAGAAGGCGGCTCTGTCCAAACTGAAAAACTTGTACTCTTTCCTCTACTTTAAGTTATAACGACAACAGCATAATCTGCTATTTATCGAAAAGTGAACGGTCCATGTACTTCGAGAGGGCAGGAGTATGGTCTGGTGACAAAAGTTGATGCAGGATTAACCGGTGCCAGAAGATAATCCATCAGGGTGTCAACACGGCATCTCGTGAAGGACCTCGGGAAGACAAACAGCATGCGAGGGATAAACAAACACACAGGTGCATCGAATACAAACTTAAAAGGTTAAAGCCTATAATTGTGATAATATTGATGATCTGCTGTTTTACGTGAATACAGTTACTGCACATGTTAGATACATGTGACAATAAACAGAGCTTCGTGTCTGGACTATTCATGGGAAGTCTAGATTACAGAAACTGTTAGGAGCATGACTCTTGCACAGATACCCTACCACTTGAGTCGTATTGAGACTGGTGAGCGGTGGAAGGTGTCAGGGATAATAGCAGTAAGAACCATCATGAGGGATGTCCGAGTGAACAGGATTTCCCTACGGAGGAATGTAATCTTGCTATTGATGCAATTAACTGAGAAAAGCTATAACCGAACATCATTCCGATTGACGGATTGCAAGTTAACGAGGTTTGTGGGCTCTCCAGAGACGGACGATGAGGGAGGCTTGCAGCCGTTTCGTTCATCAACTCACTTCCAACCTGAATAACCAACCTGCCGCAATGCAAGTGCGTTACACCAACTGGATATGTGTCAGCTAGGTGCATTCAGCAAACTTGAAGAGCTCCAGAATACCAACTCAAATATTAAGGTAGCAATACGCTGGCTTTAACACATTAGATATCACAATCCAAGTCGCAACTACGATCCGAATCTCGTTTATCAGCAGTAAACTTTTCAAAGCCCAACCAAAATACCTTGTCGACTGTGTATTTTCCACTGTTACGTGATAGAATTTCCATAACCAAGTGGAATTTTACTCTCCTTTCGATAGACCTGCGCTACTGCATTAATGCACTGTCCTCTACCTCTTTCCATCACAGTTTTGGGAGATGATCTCAGAGGAGCATGCCATAAATCCCTTCGGAACGTGCGAAACAGACTGCCCTACGCAGCTGGAGCGTATCAACGTATACTACAATGAGGCCAATGCGGGAAAGTATGTTCCACGCGCAATTCTGGTTGATCTGGAACCCGGCACCATGGACAGTGTTCGTGGAGGGCCGCTGGGTCAGTTGTTTCGTCCAGATAACTTCGCATTCGGTCAAAGCGGTGCCGGGAACAACTGGGCCAAGGGACACTACACGGAGGGCGCTGAGTTGATGGATCATGTGCTAGATGTGGTTCGCAAGGAAGCGGAATCATGTGACTGCTTGCAGGGCTTCCAGCTCACTCACTCTCTCGGAGGCGGGACCGGTTCCGGCATGGGTACTCTGCTAATCGCCAAGGTCAAGGAAGAATATCCAGACCGCATTATGAACACTTTCTCAGTTGTGCCATCTCCGAAGGTAATGTGACACGTTAGCTACGAAAGTGGCGACTTAATAAGGCTGAACTTTGGATTCCTTAATACTTCATCCTCTGGGAAGACGGATGAACCCCTTCCAATAGGCTCTAACATCGCTATCGATATGTCTCTTTTATTACTCAGCTTGTGTGACAATATATCGCATCTTTATTTTTGCAGTTGTGGTTGCATTCAAGGTTACTGGATAGCTCAAAGGAAGTTGATGTCGGGAGTCCTATGCATGTGACCCGCGCTGTACTCATCTTCCGTGAGAACCGGAGCTGAATACTAGCACGGATATTGAAACATCCGGAAGGTGGCGCAGAGTGACGTCTAAGTACTACGTCATAGCATCATTGAGAAACATCGCAAACAAACTTGTTACTGTTGCTGGAATTTGACACACTCTATGAAGTGCCACATAAAAAGGCATCATGGATAAAATGCTTCTGATTCGTTCGCTGTTGCTGGGTTCCGGACTGCTTTTGGTTGATCCCAGGCTGACTGCTTTCATGTGTTCAAGTTTTCACTGAAACTTACAACGAGTAGATTTTGTCGAATAGTAATCAACAGTCAGAAAAAGCACCGGCTGGACTTTTTCCTCCCGGAATATTGAGGGTTAGCTTCAGCTCTGAAGCACTGAAATATAAAAATTCTGTCCAACCCGATGCAGTCTATGACCCACTGTGCATGAACCAGTGTACAGTGTGTCAAGCTGTCACGTCCGATGCCACAAAAATGAAAATAAAAGTAAGGGTAGTAAGAAAAATGGTGAAAGGAATAAGCGAAACCATGAATACTGGAGGATGCATCAATTTATGGAACATTAAGGCACAACTGAAATAAGTACATGATTGCAACAGTACCACGAACTCGCTGGTTACACAATGCTAGCCAAGGCTTCATGCCTTATGGAAAGACGGCATACAACAACGCTTTGTCTCTGCCATTGGATCGCTCATGTCTGTTTGCATTGTTGTCACGTAGGCACCCATAAGTTTCAGTAAACCAAGTGTGATATTCATCTAGCAAAAATCCAGATGGTGAGACAAACGATAATCGGGTGAAACAGAAGCTCAATGCAAAGTCAGAGCTTGTGACAAGTTAGGGGACATGTGTGATCCTGACTGTCTGTACCCATAAGATTTGGATAATGCCTTGTAGGCCACGGTGGGCAAAGACTACAGGACTTCAATGTCCTTGGTAAGTAATGGCTGCATTGGTATCTACGGACACACGTTGAGAACACCGTAACATTGTAATGTGCCACTGCATGTGGGGGCATACGCCGGAGGCAATCCTATCTCGAATATGAGAGCAAACAGAAAGTACGAACAGAATAGAGGATAAAGCAATAGAACACTTAAGCCATCACGTTATTGTCACCTACTGCTAGTGCAAAGACTACAGTACCGAATTTCTTGCTTCCGCTACCGTCGGATCACATGACAAAGAGTAGCAATACGCGGTGGTTCTCGTGACACAGATACCCGACAGAAAAGCGATGACAATCTAAACAAAGTGCATACGAATCGGTTGCCAGCAAATCGATTTCCGATTTCATAATGCTAACGCGGACTGACTGCTCAGTCCTCACATCAACAGTACTTTCGGTGAGTAATTACTCGATGTATGACTTACTACCACTGACGTATGGGCGTACCATTCTCGTAAGCAGTTTAGCCAACCTACGGTAGCAGGTGTTTCTCCCACAGTAGTTACATATTCATAACCTAGGGCGTTGCTGCACCAGTTCTAGCGAAGGAATATTTCTAACGGACTGCGATAGCGTTCATTAGAACAGACACAAAGGATCAACGTTTTTGGGGAGTAAAACTTCACTGCTGTTGTCATGGGGAATTCAGAAGACGAGTTTGTGGCATTTAAACATTTCCGCCTTTATTTTTGTCACACGTGTCAGAGCCAAGTGATTTGGATTGTAGCACAAGGGCGATACGATAACTTCACGCAAAGTTGTGTAACATGTGCTGCAACTCCAGTTGCTGGGTTCCGCCAAGAAATTGAGTTAAAATGACAGGGATTCACGGACGCATGTGCAGGCATGCAAGCCGTCCGCAGAACAGGAACGCTCTAACCGACGTGCTCGCCACTCTCACATGTACTCATGCCCACTTAGTGTGCGGGCCGTGCGTGTATGAGTGTCCTAACGCGGGTCCCTTATGACCCCTTTGGGGCTGCAGCTACCCTGAGGCTGTTCACAACTAAAGTGGCAGGCAAAACCAAGTCCAGAGGACACGTCAATCAATTCTAGGAGGACATGTTACCATTACAACGGCCACAAGGAATGCACGTCAGCTTGTTAGACGGTAATCGAGAAGACGATGCCTATTTCAAGGAAACAACAGTGCTCGCTTGTCCTAGCAAGTGTATGGAAGGTTGAACCTCGAGTTCGGGTGTTAGAGGGTGAAAACATAGCTCAGGATACCGGACTTGGGTAGTGGACGCTTGGTTAAGTAGAGTAATTCCTGGTTTGTGTGGACAACCAGTGCACACCATCCTGATATCATGGGCCACCGATGTTCCTTTTATCCTCATCGAGCTAAAGACATAATTGTTACCCTGCATCTGGGACTTACCTGCTTGGACTAAGGAACCTCATATCCATGCCACAAGGCTTTACCAGCAATCCACATGAGGTGCCAAATGCGAACTGCAACCTAACTCCGGATCGGGTCCACTTTTTAGAAGTAACGTCTGTGCTGTACAGTTTCCATAACCGAAAATCACGGCTGTGTTCATCTTCATTTAAGGCTCTAATTGCTCAGACTATGGATCTTCCAAGTCGACATTGCCACGTAGCCCCTAACCTTTATGTCAACCCTACTTCTATCCTCTTCATTTTCGTTTCCCTCATCCAAACAGGTATCCGACACAATAGTTGAGCCTTATAATGCAACGTTGTCCGTTCATCAACTGGTCGAGAACACCGATGAGACTTACTGCATCGACAACGAGGCCTTGTACGATATATGCTTCCGCACTCTGAAGCTCTCAAATCCAACGTACGGCGATCTCAATCACCTGGTAAGCGCAACGATGTCCGGAGTAACAACTTGCCTTCGATTCCCAGGTCAGCTGAATGCGGACTTGCGCAAACTCGCTGTGAATATGGTTCCTTTCCCTCGTCTGCATTTCTTCATGCCCGGGTTCGCTCCACTCTCGAGTCGCGGTAGCCAGCAGTATCGTGCATTGAGCGTGCCAGAGTTGACGCAGCAAATGTTCGACGCAAAAAACATGATGGCAGCATGTGATCCACGTCATGGACGTTACTTGACTGTGGCCGCCATTTTTCGTGGTCACATGTCAATGAAGGAAGTTGATGATCAAATGCTAAATGTGCAGAACAAGAACTCCAGTTACTTCGTGGAATGGATTCCGAACAATGTGAAGACAGCTGTATGCGACATACCCCCTCATGGCTTGAAGATGTCGGCAACGTTCATTGGAAACAGTACGGCTATCCAAGGTTTATTCAGACGTGTTTCGGAGCAGTTCACTGCCATGTTTCGCCGAAAAGCCTTTTTGCATTGGTACACGGGTGAAGGAATGGATGAGATGGAGTTCACGGAAGCCGAGTCGAACATGAATGATTTGGTCAGTGAATATCAGCAATATCAAGAGGCGAATGCGGACGATGAGGATAGTTCGGGCACAGAATCGACATAATAGCATGTTCACCTCTTGGTGCACGAGTGTTATGAGCAACTGTTTTGAGTGCTTTAAATGATCGCTGCTGAGTCGGCGAACAACTGACTGTTCGAATTCCCTCATATATCTTCATACTAAACAAGTTGTATGTTCGTGTTAGGGTGGCATTGTTTCCCATAACTCCCATCCTTCCGGTTACATGCCTCACTTTTTTACCCATAGTTAATATTCCGGTGTATGTATGGGTTTTCAAGTACACCGCATCGCGCTATGATCTGCGGCCACTGTTGAACAATCAGTTTTTACATGAACAAACCTCATGAAACCGCTATGTTTGTGTACCCATTTTGCATGGTAAAATATATCAAACGCTTCAGTATACCATAAATATCTTTACACGACTAACTTACAACCTAGATCTGTTTCACCAAATCAATTCACGCCTTGTCTTTCGTGATTTAAGACTAGGTTGATTAAGCCACCAGTGTACACCAGCGTGACTGATGATGAAGCTAACCTGACCAAATGCGTGAGTGGCAAGATAAGCATAAGGTCTGATGCTCTGCTTATACATTTGCAAATGATCTCCTTTGACAACTATGGAGTCCAGCATGCTTCCACAGCAGCCTGTGCGTTTGTAGGATTGATTGAACTAAACGTGAAGCCAACATTTTACATACCGTTCAGTGAAAAGAAACGATTCTGTAGTATGTTTAAAACTATTCAGCAGTCTACGAGTTTCAAAGCTTTGTCGAGTAGTTAACGTAACATGAAGCCACCTTCGTTGTTGAAGGCATTTCAACTGGCTTAGGCACACTCGAACTGTAGTAAGGGTTATACCAACACACCACGATACAGTCGCCCCAGTTAGCTGTGCCAACCGAACTGACAAACGTAGTGAGACCTACAATCGAACCGCGCGCTGGTAGCGATTATAAACACAAAGCAACAGCTTCAAATACAGTCCTGTACTCAGCCATGCACTGCATAAAAGGGGTTGGCAGAGGCTGTCGAAATCAGTGCAACAAAGTGACGGCTAACAGATGACCATTCAACACTCGGCACGACATCTCATACTGATGACGTAGTAGTTTGAACGGTAGGCGTAATCTGGGATACGCGCTTTTACATTAGACTTCGTAAAACAATTCCTAGCGTTTAATCGTCATAATGATTGAAAGATGGGGTACCAACACCTCGGACCTGGACAGCCGCATGACGCTGGTGACCAACACTATTGAGTCAAATAACTCCAGTTCAAAATAGCCACGATAGCCAGCTGTTTGTGACGGTATGTTGTTAACACAAGGTGTAGGCGCCTTGACCCTGAATGTTTGCTTAGGGCATTAAGGTTTTCAGGTAAGTCCCCCCTTCTCTCCCTCTTATTCTTTATTTCATAGGTCCTCATGGTTGTATGGCAGCGAAGCATCAGTTCAAATGGCTGATGTACTGCTGTTGATGATGATGATGATGATGATGAGTTCAAAATAGCCACTTCGGTATGATGGAAGGCACTTAGTATGCGACATTGTTAGATCCTTATAAACGCCTAATGACAAAGGGGGTACTTGCTTCACACACACACACAAACCTCCTAGTATCGAGATGTCATGTGAGTGGTTGATTATACACTGCTCTGTCCGGACTTGTTTCCCATGCCTAGGGTTCTGAGCTTTATAGAGCAATCGCTTTGTTACGTATACTTACAGCAACTAATACGTATCAAGGTCTAGGACACGTATTAGAGTGGCACCCAAATCAGACATTGAGAATAGGAGGTGACAGCGAACAATGAGGTCATCCACAAATAACTCAGTTATTGTAACACCTCTGGTTGTACTGTAGGTGATTAACTGGAAACAGATAGCTTCCCATCGGTAAATATGGACTTAGTGCTGCAAAAGCCGGTGCATTGACCACATTGGGTATGAGTAAGTGCAGAAGACTTCTCCTTCTCTCCTAGCCTGTAAGCTAGGATCGGTGAATTCTTGGATTGGGTTCCAACAACGTGACGGATTATGACCGCGTGTGTTTGGAGCATTTTAATCCCACATATTTGTCATTCCATCTCTCTTTGCTTTTCGAGCCATCCACATTGATAATTCCTTCGTGGTTTCATGATATTCATGTGAAAATGGCTTGTTCCACCAACAACCATTGGATACACAATTTGCTCAGAACTCCGTCGTCACATTCTGCACTATATGTCTGATGAAAACTGCAGGTTAACGCGGAAGCACTGTAGATCATACGTGTTTGCCTCTGTCAATCGTATATGTGTGGTGACTAGGACTCCGTCAAGGATTATATTGGAACCGTCGCTGACGCTGTGAGGCAATTGACCTTCCAAGATATGTTGACATCTCGAGGAACTTGGGAATCGATGGTTCAGTAAACATTTATCTCAACGGCGCCCATAATTAATGGGAGACCAAAATCTACCGAATGCTAGACAATTCGTAAACCTGCTCCAGTGGTGAATCAACACACGGGTCGCATAATTCTGTGCTCTGTAGTAACTTGAATTTATCTCTTCAACATTTTGTGCCACATCCTAGAGAATGTGGTCAATCGATTCGGATCGCTGTGTTAGATCTAAAAAGGTTATTAAAATAAGTGCAACGATACGCTGGTACATCACAAAGGTAGTCTTCGACAGTTCATTCGCTAAGACTCACGAGTGCAACCTGACTTTTTTGAATTACAGTTCAGTTGGGACCGGAACAATAAGTTAATCCCGTGCATGTTCCTTTTTCTACGTATCGTTGCATCAGAAATTGTTAGCTCCGTTTGAGATTTTCGTGAGCCTAAAGCAAAAGCTGCATCACATCCTGGCTAACCAGTTACTGCCCACATATCTTGCGCAGCAGTCCCTGTCGAGCTGGTTACGTGAAGTAAGGAGGAGTGAATGGTAAGTTAAGAAAGCAGGAGGAGGAATGTCAACTAAATAATGATAATGCCAAGGCTTGAGGGGAAGTAGAAAATCGAGCAGGAGAAAGCTGAAGATACAAAACGGTTAGGAGAGACGGAAGGTTTGGTACTGCCACCCAAGAGCATCTAACTGACGCTGGAAACCCTCAGTCATAGATTCCCTAATGGTGTGCTCCGTAAGCGAGTTTCAACGTTGAATAGCTAGGCGCGACAAAAGCATTTCAAGCCTAACCCGATCAGAACGCGGTTTGTGCAGCTTCAACGGCTGACTACAGAAGCTGGATAACTACGTGACGTATGTGAGTGAAGTGACGGATGGGACTTCACACCTAATCAAGGCACGCCCCATACCTTCACATTGGCAAGTCGACCAGCGCCACATTTTGAGATTTTTGATACGCCTTAACACTTTCCCATCTGTGTATTCCGTCTCCACGTCTGTTTCTGCACATGCACCGTTGATCTTTACGTTACACTCACATGAATTCAGTGTCTCGTGAGATCAGCTATCCTGATCATTCGTACTTCTTGATCTGTTCGCGACTGATATATTACTGCTATGTATGACAGACGGATTATGCCCATACAAACGTGTCCGACTTCACGGCGAGCAAATTTGTTTATTTTTACATTTGCACCACTTTGGAATGAGAGTGAAAATTGATAGTTCAGTTTATTCTGGTGCAGTCTAACTGTCTGCCTCTATGCGAGTACTTCGCTACGCTATGTTACTGCCCACATGCTACACAAACATGCACTTATTTTGTCACCTCGATTGGTGACGTAACTTTTACAACAAGCTTCTTAAGCTCATCGAACAGTTCGACTGCCATTCGTACCCCTTGTACAGCTTCAACCCTTATCATTATCATTATCATTGATTTGAACGAGTGGCAGCACGTTCGAAAGCCGTTGAAATGATCTATCGAGTGGGACCAAACTATGTCTCCGATGGTTGGCGTTACGCAAATTTGGCTTTTGGATATCGGCGGAACCGTGCCCGGAATTTAGAATTAAGGTAATGGTGGAATACAGTGGAATGTACTGGAGAATATGGTATCAAAAGTGGTGCATTTAAAACGATGAATAAGTGTAGATGCAAAGTTGTGCGACTAATTGCCGCTGAGTCACATTGGAAAATCACCAGTGCCCAGGTGAACGTTTTGCACGCGCGTTCGCTCAAGTTCATTAGCACCATTACTATGTATGTAATCAAATAAAGTTTAGCGTTTTGCTTCCTTCTTCCACCTCCGATAAAATATACTTTTAGACATTGGATGGAATTACTCTCTGCATGGGCAATGTAGTTCTTGTTTTCCCTGGCGCTGCGTTTCGATACATGTTAATGTCCAACGTCAGTCATGTGGGTAAATTCCGCTTGCTGTTTGGTTATCGGCGTTTAGCGTACCGCGCTTGTCTGAACCGAATCACCAGGACATTTGACATTGTCCTATGGTTTAGACTGCTGGCGCGGACAAAGCGTATGCAGGCCATCACACGAACTTTTTGTATGCAGTTGGCGCTGAGCCAGATGGAAAGTTGTGCGTTCACTAGCGTGGGTGAATTCACACTATACGGTATGGTATATGTGCCTCATCGTCGTCGCATCTGGTCTGTAGGTTTGCCTGCGTTTTGAGATTCTTGCATTTCAAGGATTGATTGTTCACTGATATCCACGGTGTGATTGCTCTTGATGTGCATGTTGACAAAATGTCTGCTCGTCAATTACCCACTACCTCGCACATACTGGCTCCAGGAGACAGTTAGTCATTATTGCAGGGGACGGGATGCACGGTTCTCGTGGTCGTGCTAGGATCACTCAGTGGTGCAACCCATCCGGTGTGGAACGGGCTACAGCTCAGCCACCGTTTTGTGTATGTCTGGTACGCATAGTTGAACAATGGACAGTGCATTTATACGGTTTAAGAAGCTATGCGTTACATGTCCCGTTGGGTGGTTTTGCAGCGTTATAGAAATATAAAATAGCAATGGGTTATTTACGTTGGACAGAGGGACTTATCGTTTGTTTCGCCGTAGTCCTGCGATCCGTGTAATATCACAGCAAAAACATGTAACAGGAAATGAATTCAAAGTGTATTCCGGGAGTGCGATGGAGATGTAGTACTAGGTAGCAAAGTGGTAAGTGAGTCATCCAAATGTCCTTTAAATATGGATAGTGATGGTGTAGAAAAGACCGATTTTTGAAGAGCATTCCACGGTGACACATGCGGACGGAAAAGAAATTCCTGCAGCAATCCAGTCGCGTGTGCTGTTCTGCCAGTTTTAGTGAGTAAACTCTCAAGTTGGTATTAATACTGACTTGCAGTAAACAGCGGCACACATGATGTAGATCGTGCAAAAGTAAGTATACCATTATCAAGTTACATCGTTAGCGGCGGTAAGGTCCGCTGAGTACCCCCAATCGTTCCAGCTTCTCCTCGTATGGAAGCTGGTGCATTCCAACAACTTACT